TGGTCTTGGGTCTAACATTTAAGTCTTTGGTCCATTTTGAATTTATTCTTGTGTGGTGTAAGAAGGTGGTCTAGTTTCATTTTTCTGCACATATCTGTCGAATTTGTCCAACACCATTTATTAAGTAGACTATCCTTAGCCCATTATATGTGCTTGCTTCCTCTGTTGAATATTAATTTACTATAAAGGTACGGTTTTATTTCTGGACTCTCTATTCTGTTCCATTGATCTGTGTGTCTGTTTTTATGCCAGTATCATGCTGTTTTGATTACTACAGCCTTATAATATAGTTTAATATTAGGTAGTGTGAGTCCTCCAATTTTGTTCTTCTTTCTCAGGCTCGCTGTTGCTATATGGGGCCATTTGTGGTTCCATGTAAATTTTTGAAATATTCTAGTTCTGTGGAAGATGTCATTGGAATCTTGATAGGAATTGTATCAAATCTATAGATTGCTTTTGGGTATCATGGACATTTTAATGTTAACTCTTCCTATCCATGAACATGGTATGTGCTTCCACATATTTCTATCTTTTTTAATTTCTTTCTTCAGTGTCTTATAATTTTCCAAGTACAGGCCTTTGACATCTTTGCTTAGATTTATTCCTAGGTATTTTATTCTTTTTGAAGCAATTGTGAATGGGATTTTCTTAATTTCCCTTCCTGTTTCTTCATTATCGGTATATAAAAATGCAACTGATTTCTGTATATTAATTTTGTATTCTGCTACTTTGCTAAATTCATTTAGCAGTTCTGATAGTTTCTCTGGTAGTTCTGGGATTCTCTATGTACAGTATTATGCCTTCTGCAAATAATGACAGTTTTACTTCTTTCCAATTTGGATGCCTTTTATTTCTTCTTGTCCAATTGCTGTGGCTAGGATTTCCAAGACTATGTTGAATAAGAGAGGTGAAAGCAGTCATCCCTGTCTTGTTCTTGATCTTAAGGGGAATGCTTGTATTTTTTGCCTGTTGAATATGGTGCTGGCAGTGGGTTTGTCACATGTGTCCTTTATTATATTTAGGTATGTTCCCTCTATTTCCACTTTGCTGAGTTTTTATTGTAAATGGGTGCTGAATTTTATCAAATGCTTTTTCTGCATCTATTGATATCATCAGGTATCAATACCTGATGATATGAATTAATACTTCATTTTGTTTATGTGGTGTATCATATTTATTGATTTGTGAATGTTGTACCAACCTTGCATTCCTGGAATAAATCCCACTTGATCATGGTGTTTCATCTTTTTGATGCATTGCTGTATTTGCTTTGTCAATATTTTGTTGAGAATTTTAGTGTCTATGTTTATCAGGGATATGGGCCTATAATTTTCTTTTATTTTGTAGCGTCTTTATCTGGTTTCGGAATTAGGAAAATGCTGGCCTTGTAAAATGAGTTTGAAGCCTTCCGTCATGAATTCGATGAAATGTTTTGAGAAAGAGAGGTGTTAGTTCTTCTCAGAATGTTTGGTAAATTCACCTATGAAGCCATCTGGTCCAGGAATTTTGTTTGTTGGGAGTGTTTTGATTACTGCTTCAATTTCATTAGGTGTAATCTGTTTATTCAGATTCTCTGATTTTTCCTAATTTAGTTTTGAAAGACTGTATGTTTGTAGGAATTTATTCACTTCATCCAGGTTGTCCAGTTTGTTGGCATATAGTTGTTCATAATATTTTCTTACAATTCTTTTGTGTCAGTTGTTATTTCTCCTCTTTTATTTATGATCTTATTTATTTGGGTCCTCTCTCTTTTTTCTTGATGAGTCTGGTTAAAGGTATGTCGATCTTGTTTATCTTTTCAAAGAACCAGCTCTTGGATTCATTGATCTTTTTTTAAATCATTTTTAAAGACTCTCATTTATTTCTGCTCTGATCTTTATTATTTCCTTTCTCTACTCAGTTTGGGCTTTGTTTGTTGTTCTTTTTCAAGTTCCTTTAAGTGTGAAGTTAAATTGTTTGAGTTTTTATTGTTTTCTGTGATTTGCCTGTAATGCTGTGACTTTCCCTCTTAGGATTTCCCTGTGTCCCACAGATTTTGGATCATTTTGTCCTCATTTTCATTTGTTTCAAGGTATCTCTTGATTTCTTTCTTGAGCTTGTGTTGACTCATTCATTGTTTCATAACTTGTTATTTAGATTCCCTGTCTTTGTGTGTTTTTCAGTGTGTTTCTTGTGATTAATTTCTAGTTTCATAGCATTGTGGTCAGAGAAGATGCTTGATATGATTTCAATCTTCTTAAATTTATTAAGACTTGTTTTATGTCTTATCATGTGTTATATCCTAGAAGAATTTCCATGTGCATTTGAAAAATATGTATATTCTGCTGCTTTTGGGGTGAAATGCCCTGAAGATATCGATTAAGCCCATTTGATCCAGTATGTCATTTAAGGCTGCTGTCTCCGTGTTGATTTTCTGCCTGGGAGGTCTATCCATTGAAGTCAAAGGAGTGATAAAATCCCCGACTATGATTATATTTCTGTGGATCTCTCCCTTTATGCCCATTAAGATTTGCTTTACATATTTAGGTGCTCCTATGTTGGGTGTGTAAATTTTACTAGGGTTATATCCTCTTATTGGATTGTTCCCTTTATCATTATGTAGTGCCCTTCTTTGTCTCTTACTATAGCCTTGGTTTTAAAGTCTATTTTGTTGGATATAATTGCTGCTACCCCAGCTTTTTGTTTCTTTCCATTTGCATGAAATATCTCTTTCCATCCCTTTACTTTTAGTCTGCATGTATCTTTCGAACTGGGGTGAGTCTCTTGTAGGCAACATATGTATGGGTCTTATTTTCCTATCCATTCTGCTTCCCTATGTCTTTTGGTTGGAGCACTTAAACCATTTACATTTAAGGTGATATTGATAGATATGTATTTAATGCCATTTTATTGTTAGATTATTTTCCTCTGTTTTTTTTTCTTTCTCCTCTCTTCTTCCTCCTCCTTTTTTCTTCTTCTTTGCCCTTTAACATTTGTTGCTGTATTGGTTTGTTGTTAAGAGACTCCTGTATCTTTTTCTTGCCTGGGAAGCTCCTTATTTCTCCTTTGATTTTAAATGATAGCCTTACCGGGTAAAGTAGCATTGGTTGTAGGTCCTTGCTTTTCATCACCTTGAATATTTCATGCCACTCCCTTCTGGCCTGAAATGTTTCTGTTGAGAGATCAGATGGCAGTCTAACTGGTGCTCCCTTGTACGTAACTACCCGCTTTTCTCTTGTGGCTTTTAGGTTTTTCTCCTTGTCTTTAATCCTTGTCATTTTAATTATGGTGTCTCGGAGTAGGCCTCTTTGGGTTCAACTTGTTTGGGGCTCTGAGCTTACTAGACTTGTATGTCTTTTTCTTCACCAGATTTGGGAAGTTTTCAATTATTTTTTCTTCAAATAGGTTCTTGATCTCTTGCTTGCTCTCTTCTCCTTCTGGTATTCCCATGATGCGGATGTTGTTACACTTCATTTTGTCCAAAATGTCTCTTAAGCTCTCCTCATTTTTAAAAATTCTTTCTTGTTTTTGCTGTTCTGCTTGGGTTTTTTTTCCTACCGTATCATCCAAGTCACTGATTTGATTCTCTGCTTCATCTAACCTACTGTTTATTCCATCCAGTGTATTATTTATTTCAGACATTGCATTCTTTATTTCTGACTGGTTCTTTTAAATAGTTTCTATGTCTTTTTTCATGCTGTTAAGTATCCTTATGATCATTACCCTAAACTCTATCTGATAAATTGCTTGAGTCCATTTCATCTAGTTCTCCTTCTGGAGAACTCTCTCGTTCTTTCATTTGGGGTCTGTTTCTTTGTCTTCCCATTTCTGCTGCTGCTTTGTATTTTTTTGCCTTAGTTGTTAAACTAACCAGTTATTAAGCTTATCAGCTGCTAAACTGATCAAGCTGTTCAGCAGCCTGGCTTAAGCACCCCAGAGTGGGGCTATTCCTTCTCCTCAGGCTGATGCCATTCAGAGAGGAGTGCTCTGTTGAGAGTAATGACTTCTGAAGTATGGGGAATGACTCAGCACAGCCATCCTGGCAGCTGTTCCTTCATTTCTCTCTCCAGAGTCCCCAACTCCAGACTCTCCTCCAGCATGTCTAGTCTACTCTTCCCTCCCTCTGCTGGAGCCCAGAGTAAGTGGCTGCAAATGAAATTTTTTGTGTTGGCCCTTTAAAAGGCTCTTTGCATCCAGCTGCCTCTCCCTGGCCAACAGAACCCCTGCTGCTTTTCACAGCTGGATGTTATCTGAGTTCCTTTCTGGCTCTGGTGCTGTAGACTGGGGAGCACAGCTTGGCTTTTAGACCCCACACTTCTCAGGGATAACTGCCCCGGCCACTGAAATACCCTCCAGAACTTCAGCTGCTGCCCACGGGAGCCCAGCCATTCCTCTCACACCTCCTCCATACTCCCTATCAGTCACATTGTGCTGAAGCTGTTTCTTCTGTCTGTTCGTGGTCATAAGGGTTCTCTCCAGCTAGTGTTCATTTGGATGTTCAGGATGATTTCTCTACAATTTAGTGGTAATTCCAGATTGGTGATGGGAGGAGGTTAATGTAGCTTCCACTTACTCCTCCACCATCTTGGATCTCAGTCTAGAGTGTTTCTTTATTAGAAATTTAATATATTTTTAAAATTTCAGTGTTTTCTGTTATGATTATTGTTTTTGTTAGTGCTTAGGTTAAAATTTTAATTTTCCCATGCTATTTTTCCCATAAGCTTTGTTATTTTTAGTTTGAACTTATGAAGTGTTACTTATTTAGCAATATATATGTCCAGTTAAAGAAAATATGCATATGACTGCTTTTCCTGAGGTTCAGCAATGCTGGAAGGGGGGGGTGAGAGGGAAGAGCAGGGTATACAGAAGGTTTCCCAAGGATCAGTAGACCTGCCCATGCTTGACTGCAACTTGGTCTAAATAAATTTTCTTGTAGTGACTATTTTCCTAAGTGCTCTTATTTATATGTTTGGGTGGTTATGGTTTCGCATTTTTATCCTTTCATTGATCTTTTGCTGCAGTCTGAACAGGGGTCTGAGGCCGAGCTACACCCCCAACTGAGCAGAGCCCCCTCCCAAGCTGCAGAGAGTAGTCCAACAAAGAAGGTAAGGCCAGCACAAGGGTGCCACCATGGTGGCCTTGTGATTCCTCTCTTGGGCTTCTTGCATCTGTTAGCACATTTCCTGTTTTAAGTTTTCATGTCCTGACTTGAATGTTAATGATCCAGATTTCCTAGAATTTGGGTTCTTTGTGAAGACGGGGTCCTGATGATTCCTGGGCCAGACCTTGATGTTGCTGGCAGTTCGCACTTCCCTCTTTAATCTCCCAGCTAAATACTGCAGCTTTGCTGTTAGTAAGATCAAGAGGTGAGGTGGGGAGGGACAGATGGCTTTAGCAGAATCCTGCATACTGCTAAGCCTCTAGGAGCACCTTTTGGGGGCATGGTAGTCTCCCCACCTTTGTCTTTGTGCTTTGGCTTCTTCACCTCAGCCTGCCCACATCACTGAGTCCCAGGTCATTTGTTCAGTAAGTATCCCTCACTCATCGTGCTGTCCTTTCATGTTTTCACCCTTCTCTTGTGCTTCCCCATTTTCTCAGGCCCTTCTCTCCGGAAAGAGAGCAGGCCCTAGCTCAGGAACACAGGTGAAGAAGGGGCCTTCCAGGAAGTAGGCCAACTGTCTCCTTCCAGAAGATAACCATGTAGTAACTGGGGGTTAGAAAATGCTGAACACATGACTGAGACCGTTACAAACTTCAATACTTAGAACATATTCCAAACAGCCCCAAAGGGAGGCAAGAGCGAATTTTGTCTTCAGTAGAAAAGGTTCTGTGCTATGAGATGCACACAGCATTTACAATAGTAAGGTAACAAGGTTGGATGGGTTCCTGGAATCTGATTCTTATGTCTTTCCAGGTGACAGAAAAAGAGACTATAGTCTGCAAGCATGAAACAAAACAAAACAAAACAAAACAAGGAGGAAAGAAAGGCCATTGGAATCTGATGCCCATATCTTCCAGCTCTTGCTGAACAGTGAATCAGCCACATATCTTTGAGTGTAGAGTTCCAGTAGAGCACGTGCCTAACCTTAGAGGAACATAGGGGCATTGGCATGATGGGAGGAGCATTTAATTTTTTAACATATTGGGGTTTTGTTTTGTTTTTAACCTACAGGACATACCATATTCTCAGCCACCATCAAAACCCATCCGTAGGAAATTACGACCTGAAAATCAAGCTACAGAAAATCAAGAGCCTCCTGCCACTGTTGGCGGACCAGTGTCTGCAGCAACTGTGAAACCGCATCCAACAGTCCAAAAGTAAGTAGAACAGATAAGTGAGAGCAGGGTCAAAGACTTCCTTTTAAATCTTCATATATATGTACATGTAGACATGTTTACATTTACACTCATACCATAAGGAGAGGTGATTTTATGGATGCAGTCTTACCTTACTCATCTCTGTGGTGGGATTACTATTTTCTAGTCACATAGAAACAGGCTTCTAAACTATAGGTCCTAGCCTGACCCAAGGGGCAAGTGAAGAAAAGACCATGGTGTATTCTGATTTGATTGGATTTATTTCCCTTCCTTCTCTGCTTCCACTCCTTGTGCTGGCTCACATTTTCCTCGGAAGAAGGCAGCAATGTAAATGGCAGTTGTCCCTCTTTGCCTGTCTTATCTTACATTTCCCCATGGCAAACATCGCTAGCTTCATGACCCTCAGACCCAACTTGCAGTATATGTGGGGTATAAGGGAAAGTGGTGGGGGGAAGGCAGAGACAAATGTATTTGAAAAGTAAATAAATTTTAAAAAAAAGAAAAAAATATATATTTGAAAGATAAAAACTTCAAATATAAAAGATTTTTTTCCTTCATTTATGATTACTAAAACTCAAAACTATCATTAGAAACCGTTTCTAACATATTAGATTGATTTTTTAAAAAAGTTTAAATTTATTTTTAGTTATAATTAACATACAGTATTATATTAGTTTCAGGCATACAACATAGTGATTCAACATTTATATTTCTTACAAGTAAGGCTAGTAATGATCTTTCATTGTATAGAGTTTATTATGATGTTATTGACTCTTTTTCCTATCTGTATATTACATCCCCATAATCTTTTTAATCCCCATGAAGTTTGTTGTTCATCACCTCAGCACAGAATCATCACCTGCAGAATCTCCAAGACATCTATCTAGCTGGCTGTAACAGACATTGGAGGGTGGGCAGAGGGACCAAGAGAACAATGCTCTAGACAAACAATCCTTTTTCAGAGGTGTTGGCTTAAGAAGAGCTAGCAGTTGCCTCAGTTTCCCTGTTGTGAAATTGAGCAAGGCATCAAGGGCAGAAACCTGCTGCTGTGTATGACTTCAAGTGAGCCCTACTGGTCACTAATGTAAATGCTCAAGATCCATCATGAAATGGCCCTTGAGACCTTGCATGTCTCAGTGACTGCTGTGTATTTTCTCCTGCTTACACTGTTAGGGAAAGAAAAGCAACAGGTGTTTTCTTTTTTTAATTTTTCAATTAGAGTTTGCAGTCAACATTATTTTGTATTAGTTTCAGGTATACAGCATGGTGGTCAATCACATACTTTATAAAGTGTTCTCCCCCCATCCCCTGATGTTTCAGTACCCCCTTGGCACCATACATAGTTATTACAGTATTATTGACTGTGTTCCCTATGTTGCACTTTACATCCCTGTGACTATATTGGAACTAAGTAAAGCAACAAGTTTTGTTGGTGTAACTTGCCTTTGAAGCCAAAGCCCCATTCTAAATCTGTGTAGCACTCTTTTTCAGAGGATGGTTTTGGTTTTGGTTTTGGTTTTCCAAATGGACAGTTCCCTGCTGCCATCAGTGCTTAAAGGAAGTGTATTTTGTCTGTACAGGTCACTGAGAGCTTTCATCTTCCAGCCATCCCCAAGCCTAGGGCATGGATTGTTCTCAGGGACAAACATGGCTAAACTTTCTTCCATGTAATTCCCCAGTTTTCCACTTTAATCTCTGCTTTACATTAATGCTAGTCAGTCAGTGGTGGCTGCAACAGCCTCCAGAATGGATTGGCAAGGCAGTTGGGAGTGTTTTCATTCATTTTCGTGTCTTTATTTGTTGTTTTTTAAACAGCTTTATGGAGATATAATTCGCAAAGCATACAATTCACCCATTTCAGTGTACAATTTAGTGGTTTTTAGCATATTCACAAAGTTGTGCAACCATCACCATGATCTAATTTTCGAACATTTTTATCACCCCCAAAAGAAATTCTGTGTCCATTAGCAGTCACTTTCCATTCTCCCTTTTCCCAAGCCCCAGGCAGCTACTAATCTACTTTCTGTCTTTATAGATTTCCCTGTTCTGGGCATTTTATGTAAATGGAATCATACATGTAGTCTTTTGTGACTAGATTCTTTTATTTAGCATAATGTCTTCAGGGTTTATCCATGTTGTAGCATCATCAATCAGAACTCAATTCTTTTTTATTGCTGAATAATTTCCCATTGTATTGATAGACCACATTTTATTCATCCATCCATCAGTTTATGGCCATTTGGGTTGTTTATATTTTTCAGCTATTAAGAATAATGCTGCTATACCATTTGTTTACAAGTTTTCATGGGGACTTATATTTTCATTTGTCTTGAGCATATACCTAGGGGTAGATATGCTGGGTCTTACAGTAAGTCTGTTTTACAGTTTGGGGAATTGCCAAACTGTGTTCCACAGTGGCTGCAGCATTTTACAGTCCTGCCAGTAATGTACAAGAGTTCCAGTTTCTTCACTTCCTTGCCAGTGCTTGTTATTATCTGGTGGTCGGGGGGAGGCAGAGACAAATGTATTTAAAAAGTAAATAAATAAATAAATAAAAAATAAAAAAAATTATAGTCTTCCTAGTGGATGTGAAGTGATAATTGTGGTTTTGATTGCATTTTCCTAATGACTGATGATGTTGAGCATTTTTTCATGTGCTTATTGGCCATTTGTGTATCGTCTTTGAAAAAATGTCTACTCAGATTCTTTGCTCATTCTTACATTGGATTATTTATCTTTATTTTTGAGTTATGAGTTCTTTATTCTGGATACAGGCACCTTATCAGATATCTAATTTGCAAATATTTTCTCCCATTCTGTGTGTTGTCTTTTCACTTTCTTGATGGTATTATTTGCAGCACAAAGTTTCAAATTTTGATGAAATCCAATTTTTCCATTTTTTTCTTCTGTTACTTGGTGCTTTTGGTATCACATCTAGTAAACTTTTGCCTAACCCAAGTTCATAAGATTTGTTCCTGTGTTTGCATCTAAAATTTTTATAGTTTCAGGTCTTAGATTGAAGCCTATGATCAACTTTGAGTTCATTTTTGTGTATAGAATTAGGAAAGGGTCCAACTTTACTTTTTTGCATGTGGATATCCAGTTGTCCCAGCACCATTTGTTGAAAGGAGACATTTTGTCTGCCTGTTCAGTGACTGTCCCTCACCATGATACTCTCTCACTGGTTACGTAACCACATGGTGTCAGGCTGAGAGACTAGTACCTACCAGCAATACAAACAGTGTTATAAATGGCAGGGAGTTAACCTTTTGGGTCAGGGAACTTCATGAAACTGATTTTAGTTCTCAGACCAGTTTATTAATGATAAGAAGTGACTTATCTTTCATAATTTTTTAAGCCCTGGGGAGAGAGACAGCCAGGTACATGATGGCTAGTCTATATATGGTCCTTTCTCAACCAGTGTTATGGGAAAGAATTAAACTTTGATGCCCTTAAACATCCATTGTCTATAGTAAATAAACCTGTGTCCTTTTCATTTAGATTGGCCTTTACTATGTATCCACTTTGAGAAAAGTCACAAATCATTTTCTTAATTCTCTATCATAACACTCCTTAAGAAAGCCTAAAAAATAAATTAGTTGCAAAATCCTCACCAGGTCTTTGGGAAATGAACATCAGAACTGGCCTATTATAAGAAAGAAATTCTCCTTTACATGTTATCATTGTCTACTTAATTTAGGGCAAAGGAACTGAGTACAAGTTACAAATCATATCATATAAGCAGATCTTGGACTGTATAATCATTAATGACCTGCCCTTAAGGACAAGAGTAGAGTTTTTCTTTAAAATAATTTGGTTTAATTGGTTTTCCCCCCACATCTTGTGTGTCTTCTTAGGATGGACTTTGGAAAATAGAATGGTTTGAGCAGTTTGGAGATAGACGATATTGTGTGACAGTACTGTGGCTAAACTTATGCCAGGTGAGGGACAGTAACTCAACAGGCAGACAATATATCTCCTTTCAACAAATGGTGCTGGGAGAACTGGATTTCCACATGCAAAAGAATAAATTTGGATCCCTTCCTAATGCTAGACACTAAACTTATGCCAGCCTCCGTGGCTTCTGCTAATCTCTGTAACCCCAGGAGGTGTCCTCTACTACTTAAGGCCATGTCCAGCCGCCAGTGTGGCAGTGTCTGCACACCTACATGATGTTCTCGATGTGGTATAGTATCAAAACCAGAAAATGGGCATTAGGACAGTGTATGTGTATACAGTTGATGCTTGAACGACATGGGGTTTAGGGTCATAGACCCCCCCAACCCATGAAGTCAAAAATCCATGTACAGCTTTCACTCTCCAAACACTTGGTGTCTGCAGGGGATTGGTTACAGGATCCCCACTCTACCCCCTGCAGATACCAAAATCCATGGATTTGGTCCAAGTGCCCCATAGGAAATGGGTCAGTCAGGGCATACAGTCAGTCTTTCAAATCTGTGGACTCCCAATCATGGATCAAAAACAGTACAGGTATTTATTGAAAAAAATCTGCATATAAGTGGACCTGTGCAGTTCAAACCCATGCTATTCAAGGGTCAACAGTAGTTCATTGCTATTTTATCACATATGTAGAGTCTTGTAACCAGTACTGTAATCAAGATACAGGAGTCATACCTACCCTCTCTTCTCTACCATTTCTTGCCCTGGAAACCACTAACCTGTTTTCTATTTCTATAGTTTTGTCATTTTTATAATGTCATATAAATACAATTGTACGTCATGTGTCTTTTTGCACTTGGCATAATACCCTTGACATCCATTGAAGTTGTTATGTATCTCAATTAGTACTGCTAAGCATTACTCTATGGAATGGATGTACAATACTCTGTGTAGTCATTCACCTGTTGAGAGACGTTTTAGTTGTGTTTAGTTATTGAGTATTACAACTGAAGCTGCTATGAGCATCTGTGTACACGTTCTTGTGTGTACATAGTTTTCATTTCTCTGGAATAAATGTTCAGAAGTGTGATTGTTGGGTTGTGTGCTAAGTCTAGGTTTGGTTTTTAAAGAAACCTTTAGATTTTGGGGGGAAGGGAGTAAGTATGCCTTGTACAGAATAGCATACAGAAAAAAAATACATCACCTACAAAGACTTAAACTGAAATCCTTAGATATATAAAAACATGTACAGAACTTACATGCTGAATACAGAGTAGCAGAGTGGTTGGCATAGAGAATATTCTCAGTGAATATTAATGAGATTGCTACAGTGGTCACAATGTATTTCAGTTGAGTTGCTCTGGCCTAGAACCTATCTCCTAGTGATTACAAATAAGTTTGTTTTTCTAGGGGAACTTAAATTGCCGTTTCACTATGAGAATTCAGTATTTCTTGCTGTGGGATATAAAGTTGTAGGTTATACAACCATGTTGATTTATCATCTCAACTGTGGACAGTTTCAAGGGAGAAAGAGTGCTAAGAATAATTAGGGCCAAACAAGCAGTGTAAGCAGAGACTGTAATGGGCAAAGTGGGACATATGGTCACCCTATTTATACCTGTTCTATGAATGTACTATTGACTTAATTTGGGACTATGAGTATTGAAATATTTCTGTGCATTTCTCAAGTGCTACAACTGTATATGCTGGTGTATGCATATGCACGTGCTCACTTGTACTCAGGCATTGATCCCTAATAATAAAGGAGTAAAGGAGAGTTTTGTAGGCTGGCTAAATTAATGTAGGATCTTTGCTAAAGAGAATGTTCTTGTTTTACCTTCAGACTTGTCCACAAGGGCCACCTGCAGGTCTTCTAAATGCCGTTAATGCCTACACAAAAAGGGCATTCCAGTTCATATGGTTTGTCCAGAAGAAATTAAAATAACTTGGAATAAATGGAACACAAAGTGTTTGAAAAGGCCCTATTCACGGTTTTTCTTCAAGTTATAAAATGGGTACTTTAGGTGTAAATAATTCATCCTGACAAATGCGTTTAATTTGGTGTGTGCCTGCCTGCCTGCTTGTATATATATGATTTTATTTTTGGAGCCCTGTGACATTTAGCGCCTTGTTAGTTTAGCACTTCTCATGAATCAGAGAGTCTGACAAGGGTCCCGGGTCCAGACCTCTAAGTTCTATTTCACTGAACTGTTTGTACTTTTTGTAGACAATCTTCCAAACAGAAGAAGGCTATTCAAACCGCTATCCGCAAAAATAAAGAGGCAAATGCAGTGCTGGCCCGGTTGAACAGTGAACTCCAGCAGCAGCTCAAGGTAAGGAGCTTCCTAATTTTGGATTACCAGGCTTTTCATCTATTTGATAGCTCTCTTTTGAACACTGGCTGAGTGTCTGGTTCCATTTCTGTTGGTAAGACCTACCTCTTGGTTCTCAAACTCCTTTTGGAAGGCAGAGAATTGCTGTATTTAAGATTCATGGGTTGGTTCTTGTATGTTTAGAGGAAGACTAGTAACTCTAATATGTAGGCTGCATATTGTGTGTTAGTTAAAAGGATAGGTAATCTATTAAAGGGCTGTTTGAAGCATTATTTATTGTCTAAAGCTTCTGGGTAAACCCTTACTTATTTAGATCTGCCCTGAATGATACTATACTTACTTCAGTGGAAGAGGGTGGCCCTGATACTTTCAAAGTCCAGCCCCTCACCTGGCACCTTGGAAATGGTTCCATATCACCTTGTCAAGGACATCACCCCTGTTCTTATTTCCTGTGTCTCTTCATTATTAATCTCTTCTGTATTGGTTTTGCAGGGCTTTCATGACAAAGTACGACAAAGTGGGTGGTTTAAAATAACAAATGTAGCCTCATAGCTCTGGAGGCTAAAAGTCTGAAACCTAGGTGTCAGCACTGCCAAGTTCTCTCTCTCTGAAGGCTCTAGGGCAGAACCCTGCCTTTTTTTCTTCCCAGTTTTTGGTGGCGGCTGGCAGTGCTTGATTTTTCCTTGGCTTACAGATGCACCACTGCGATTTCTGTCTTCACTCTCACGTGCCACCTCTCTGTATCTCTCTCTGTCCAAACTTCTTTTCTTATTGTGTCCTTTTCTTATAAGGACACTGGTCATTGGATTAAGGCCCAGCCCAATCTAGCATAACCTCATTTGAACTAAATTAAGTCCTCACAGTTCTGCCCGCTGTGTTCCCTGATTTTCTACCAGCTCGTTCCCATCCACACGTAAACATGCTCCAGTACTGTCTATCATCTTGACCCCACATTCTTCTTCAGCTGCTGCTGGTCTATCTGGCCTCCTTCACAGCCATGTTTCTGAGGAGTTCGTTTCATTTACTGCTCTGCTTCCTCACCAACAGTTTTCTACCCCTCCACTTTAGTGTGACTTCCCTCCTCCACTCACACTCCTCTTAACAGTCAGATTCAAAGGGCCTGTTTTAATATTACTTGAATTTTCAGACTACACAATTGGCTGTTCCCTCCTCTGAAGTCACTTTTCTAACTGGCTTTTGGGAAATCAAACCTGGCTTGTTTTTTTCTACTTCACTCGTGTTTCCTCTTTAGCATTTTCTGCTGTCTCTTCCTTCTTTGATTTGTCTTTTGTTACCCACCTCCTTGCACCAATATTTTATTTTGCACATTTTCAGGCATAGAAGAAAGTCAAAAGAATCATACAGTAAATATTTTTATAGCCACTACTTTGGTTCTGTGATCAATATTTTCCTATACTTGTTTTTCTCACATATCCATTCCTTTATCTGTCCCTGTATCTATCCAGAGTCCATCTTATTTTTAACGTTTTTATGTAAATTGAAGACATCCGTACATATGCTTTAAATATTTAGCATGAATATCATTAACTAGAGTTCAATATTTTTACATACTTCTTATGTACATTTTACATATAGTGAATGTACAAATCTTAAGGGTACATTTGCTGAGTTTTTAACAAATACATGCACTTATGGAATTCAAACCCCTAACAAGATACTACCATCAGTAAGCTCCCTCTTGCTCCTTCCCAGTCAATTCCTGTCCCACTCATGCAGAAGTAACCACTATTCTAAATTTTTTATGCCATAGTGTAGCCTAGTCCATAACTTTATAGAAATGTTCTTCTAACATGTATTTTTATGTAAAAGTTCTTTCACTTAATATTATGTTCTTGAGATTGATTTATACGGTTGCATGTGTCAGTAATCTGATCTTTTTTACTGCTGAGTAGTATTCCATTGAATGAATATGCTACAGTTAGGTTCTCAATTTGCCTATTAATAGATACCTGAACTGTTACAGTTTTGGACTATTTTGTATAAAACTGCATTCTTAAATCAGTCTTTGTGTGCAAATACATTCTTTTTTTTTTTTTTAAGTAAATACCTAGGATTCAGATTAATTGGTAATGTGGTGACTATATGTGGTTCGTTTTTAAAAAATTTAAATCATTTTTTATTTTTCAATTACAGTTGACATACAGTATTATATTAGTTTCAGGTGTACACCCAAATGATTAGACATTATGTAACTTACTAAATGATCATCCCAATAAATCTCTTACCATCTGAAACCATACATAATTATTACAATATTATTGACTATATTCCCTATGCTCTACTTTACATCCCTATGACTGTTTTGTTACTAGCACTTTGTACTTCTTAATCCCATCACCCCAACCCCCCTCCTCTCTGGCAATTGTCAAAATGTTCTCTGTATCTGTGAGTCTGTTTCTGGTCTGCTTATTTATTTTGCTTTTTAGATTCAGTTGTTGATAGATATGTATTTATTGCCATTTTATTGTTCATAATTTTTTTCTTTTTAAAGAAGGCCTTTTAACATTTCATGTAATACTGATTTGGTGGTGATAAACTCCTTTAGCTTTTTCTTGTCTGGAAAGCTCTTTATCTGTCCTTCAATGCAAATGATAGCTTTGCTGGGTAGAGTAATCTTGGATGTACATTCTTGCTTTTCATCACTTTGAATACTTCTTGCTAATACATTCTGGCCTGCAAAGTTTATGTTGAGGAATCAGCTGACAGTTTTATGGAGCTCTCTTGTAGGTAACTGTTTTTCTCTTGCCATTTTTAAGTTTCCCTGTCTTTAACCATTGCCATTTTAATTATGATGTGTCTTGGTGAGGACCACTTTGGGTTCATCTTGTTTGGGACAGTCTGCACTTCCTGGACTTGTTTGTCTGTTTCCTACACCAGGTTATGGGAGTTTTCTGTCATCATTTTTTCAAATAGGTTTCAATTTCTTGCTCTCTCTTTTCTCCCTCCAGTACCCCCATAATGCGAACGTTGGTATGCTTGAAGTTGTCCCAGAGTCTCCTTATGCTATCTTCATTTTTTTGGATTCTTTTTATTTTTACTGTTCCAATTGGGTGTTTTTTGCTTCCTTATATTTCAAATCACTGATTTGATTCTTGGCTTCATCTTCCCTACTGTTGTTTCCCTGTAAATTGTTCTTCATTTCAGTTAGTGTATATCCTTCGTTTCTGACTGGATCTTTTTTATGCTGTTGAGGTTCTCACTAAGTTCATTGAGCATTCTTATAACTAGTGTTTTGAACTCTGCATCTAGTAAATTGCTTGTCTCCATCTTGTTTAGTTTATTTTTCTTCAGTTTTGCTGTGTTCTTTCATTTGGACCATGTTTCTTTGTCTCATCATTTTTGCAGTCCCCTGTATTTGTTTCCATGTATTAGGTAGAGCTGCTTTGACTCCATATCTTGGTAGAATGGCCTAATGTAGTAGGTGTCCTATAGGGTCCTGTGGCACAGCCTCCTCTATCACCAAGCTGGGTGCTCCAGGTGCCCCCCCCCCAGTGTGGACTGTTTACACCCCCCTGTTGTAGTTGAGCCTTGATTTTTATTGGCATGTCAATGTGAAGAATTTATCTCCAGGCCACTTGGTTGCAATGACTGACTGTGATCACCAACCACCATGGAGGATCAGCTGTGCAGGGGCCCACCCCACAGAGCAGGACTTACTTCAACAGGGCTCTGGTGCCCGCTGAGCCTGTTCCTTGAGTGTGTCACTTGTGGAAGTGGTTTGGTGGTGCTTTGATGTGGTCTGAAGCTGACCACTGGGTGAGCTGGCTCTGGGGCCTCCAGGCGGTGCAGGCCAAGGTCAGTCACTGCTTGTGTTCTACCCAGGGCCACCTGGTATGATCTACAAAGCTATCTGCAGATGGCTGCTACTCATGCTTGGCTTGGCGCTGCCAGGAGAGGCTAAGCTGCAAACCAAGGCCAGCTGCTGATAGTGCTGGGCCTGGGGCCACTTAATGAGAGATATGGGGAATGCTGAGGCCAGATGCTTGTTTGAGAGATTTTAGGAAGTCTCAAGTGTGAGCTCCTACGGGCTATTCATATGGAAAAGCCACTGTAAACAGCTTGGGTAGTCCCACAAGTTGGGTGGGGAATCACCAGAGCTTGGCAAACAGTGTGAGCCAGGTTGATGGAGACTCAGATATGGTGCCCACCTACCAGGTTTGTTGGGCCTCAGAAAAGAAACAGTGGCATCTCCCAGCATTTCTTTCTGGGAGAGAGCAACCCTCCTAGCTCTCATCCTTATGCCAGACACTTCATTTCCTCCCTGTATGTCCCTGATGCCTTTCAATCTGCTGCCCCTACACTGGAGCTCAGAAGTGAGTTTGAGTAAGTCTGTGCATGGGCCCTTAAAGAGGGACTACCTGGGACTCTGGAAGCACTCCATCTCACTTAGCCATAATCCCCACTGGTTTTTTCAGCCAGAAGTCATGGGGACTTCTCTTCCTGGCACTGGAACTCTGGACAGGGGGAGCCTGGTGTGAGGCTGGGACACCTCACTCCTTAGGGGGGACCTCTGTAGTTAAGATATCCCTCCTGATTTTTATCCACTGCACGTGGATGTGTGACCAGCCCATTACTACTGTTCTGTATCTCTGCCCCTCGTACCGGTCTCTCTGTGACTTCTTTAAATCCCTAGTTGTTGGACTTCCATTCAGCTGGGTTTCAGGCAGTTCTGAATCATGGTGGTTCTGTAGTTTAGTTGTAATTTTGATGTGGTTGTGGGAAGATTTGAGTACTGCATTTACCTACTCTACCATCTTGACCAGAAGTGGTCATTAGTTTTATTAGAACTTCTAGAGCTTTTTTCAAAGTGTTTGGAGCATTTTGTACTAACCCCCACTAATGTAGCAGAGTTCCAATTGTTCTACATCCTTGCTGACATTTGGTATTTTTCTTTTAATTTTAGCCAGTCCTGTGGTGATGCAGTTTTTATTTTGCATCTCCTTGATGCCTATGTTGAACACTTTTCTATGTGATTATTT